ACTAGAATATTTTTAAAAAATTAACAAAAATTATATGATAAGTTTAATACTGTTAAGATTTCCTAATAGTTCTTTTAAAATCTATACATAAGCTGAGTTATCATCATTTGAATATGGAATACTCAGTGTTCCAAGTGTTAATCTAAGGTTTTCCTCTCTCTAAAGGGCTTTTCGAAATTATATAGTCTAGATTTCTGGATTATTTCTGTTTTTAAGTTTTAAACAGTTTAAAATTTGTTCTGCTCAATATTTCTTAATATTTTGTAGTAATCTTTTATGTTTCTAAATTTTTTATGCTATTTTTTGCAATTTTAAAACATTTCTGTTTATTGTTCACTATTTTTTTATTACCTGCTGTTTAAAAATTGCATCTGATGTCAATTTTATAAATCTTCTTAAAATTACAACAGTATTCACATACTATTGCATTGCACGATTCAAAAATAAAAACAATTACCTCAATACAACAACAATAATAATGATTATTTTGGTAATAAATACTGCAATAGATAAAGAGAACAGTAGTGATATTCGCAATGCTAGAGAGTTACCAGACAAACAAATATTACACAAAAACAATAACAGTAATTTCTGTTGGATGTAAATAACACAAGAAAAATATTTTTATTGTAGTGACATTTGGTAGAATAAAAGGTTACCAGACATTGTAGTATTACAGCTTATGTTTTAAAGAACAGACAACATCACACTCTTGCAATTATTTACATCAATATATATGTTATTGTTATATTGATGTAAATACAACAACAAAAATAGTATTGACATTTCCAAAGCTGTAACATTAGCTAAAAGATGTATATTGTTTTCTTAGGCAAAAATTATGTTAAGCTATTGTTATTATTTACATCAATATAACAACAATGATGCATTGTTTTGTTTTGAAAGTACATAAAACAGCAACAAAAAGGGAGAGAATAGTGACATTTGCAAACAATAAAGTTACCAGACAAACAAATATTACATAAATAGGCAAAAACAGCTAAGTCTATACAAATTATTACAATTTCCTGCAGAAAAAAATGTGTTTTCTTTGTGCATAGGAAACTGTAACTATTTAAATAGCTTTGTAAAGCTAAATTTGTTTAAAACATATAATTCTTCATTATATTTGGCTTAGTGAAAGGATATGGGTGTAAATTTCTTTTATTTTAGCCCCCCTCCTGTAGTTACTTTCTTTTGCTGGTTGAGTTTAGTGTTAGTTTGTTCATTTTTTTTCATTTATTTTAAATGCTTCGTTGTGCATAACGTACCATATGTAAGACTCATATTATAATTGTAGGTAAATTGTACAAATGCGTGTCACAATTATGTACAAAAAGAAAAATATTATATGAACAACATATAAAACAAAATATGGTTCATCATGACAAAGTCAGTCATAATTGTAGATTTACACACATGAAAATCAACAAAAAAAAAAAAAAAAAAATAAACGTGATAAGTAGATAACAAGTTTCTGTGCGTGAAAAAGTTTTAACCTTATAGTTGCGCTAGAGATTAGTAAAGTAAAGAAAGGGTTTAAGTGAGTTGTTACATAAATTACATTAAATAAACCTAGAAATCACGATTATATTAATATTTTTTATGAATTTTATAATAAAAAATTTAAATTTTAGATCCCTTTTAAGTTTTTCATACAAAATGTTAAAGCTAATTTGCTTTTAATTTTCTTAATAATCTGTTCATATCATTTAAATATCTGTTTTAATATAAAAATTTTAGTTTTTTGACAGATCAAATTTGTTTTGTAGTTACATTTTAGGGTTAAATTATATTTTTATTTATTTAAACGTTATTTTTATCTTTGGCGTTGATAGTTTTATTGACATTTATTCATAATTTTTTTATGATACGTAAAATAGGTTTATACCCGTCTAATAATACAACAAATGTTTTGTTTAATATTGACATACATTTCAAATCTATAAAAAATGAAATGTATTTAATATGGTATATCTTAGAATAGAAATGAATGAAAAACGATTTTAGCAACAGACATTTGTTCCAGTTTTTTTTAGTAGTTTGAGAAAAATGTAATAAATAGGAAATTAAAATTTAATTTTAATAAAAATTAAAAAATAATTGTAATATACGAGGTTTTTAACCATAAAAAAATACTATTTTAATGCATCTTTTTCTAAAAAAAACTATTCGAAAGAACTTTTTCCGTAGAAAAACTCTTTTAGAGAACTTTTTCTTTTATGTAGAATAACATTTCTACAAAAGGAATTTATTTTCTGTACTGTGTGGGATATATAACAATATTTTAAGTGTTAAGTATCAAATTTACAATTTAAAAAATTTTAATTTTAAGAGAAAAAAGCTTACTTTATATCTATAATTTAAAAAAAAATAACACGCCTAATTAATTATAAAGATTTCGTAATGCAAAAAAAAAAATAGTTTTCAACACAAACATAGATAAGATTCTTTTAAACAACTGTCTACTGCTACTTCTTATATGCATCATAAAAGCCACTTATGAATGCATATACGTTTTGGCTTTTTTCTCTTCACAATTTACGAAATTTTAATTTTAGGCTACTTCAAGCCCTTTATTGTAGTCGTTGTTGTTGCTATTTTATATATTTATCTATTTCAGATTGCATTTTAGGGCGTCATATTCACAGAGAATTTCTTCATACTCTACCACTACTACACGCATTAGAGTTCGTAATCGTTTTGAATGAGACCTACATTTTGTGGTCATTAAACAACAAACAAAAACAAATATTGAAAAATAAATAAAAGTTTTTTTATGGCTATTTAAAAGAGCAGCATTTTATCAATGTAAATGATATTTTTATATAAAAAAAAACTTTATATATAAATTATACGATTAGGGAAAACCTACAACAAATGAATTTGTAGAGTGGGACTGATGAGTGACTATTTGAAACTTAAAAGAAATATGTTTGTGTTCTAAATAAATTTCTGATTAAAAACTTTAGGGAAAAGCTAAAGTATGAATGAATTGATAAAGGTGGAAATATATTGAAAATGTCTGAATTTTTATTTGTTTATGTTGCAATCATTAGCAGTAGTTGAAAAGAAGGAAATGTTTTAAAAACAAAATATTATTATTTTAATTTTAAAAATAATAAAAAAATATTAAATTTTACTTATTCAAAACTATTTAAATCAAGAATTTTAAACATTTCTTATAATTTACTAAATATATTTTCTATTTATAGTTAAACATTATGTTATGTGCCTTAAACTTTAAGTGGCACCTTAAACTAAATGTAAAATGTTTGTTTTTTAAGTATTTACGTCTGTAGGTAATTAATTATAGTAATAAAATACTTGTTGATTACAAATGTTCTGCTCTAATTGCAATGTTTACGTATGAACATAAAAATAAAAATAGAAAAACTAAAACTAAACACAAATTACAGGTAAAAAGAGCTTTAAGACAAAAGAAACTTGCACACAAAATGTATTTTGAACGCGTGAACAAATCAAATAATTTTGCAATATTTGTAAATAAATAAATGCAATCAAGTATAAAAGCAAGCAAAACAAAAAACTAATAATGGGTTTTATGAAAATAAATGCAAGAAATAAAATTTAATTATAAAATATGAAATATTGCAGTTTTTTCATTTATTATAGAAAAACTTTAATAAAAATCAAAGTTTTTTTGTTAATTATATAAAAATCTATTTTTGTGTAGTTTTATTTATATATTTTAAGATTGTATAACTTGTAAACCATTTTTCTTGTATTTCTAGCGATTTTTTTATTTATAATTTGGCAACTCTTTTAATTTACTGCCAGATAATAACAAATGACACAAGACAGGTTTAATTAAAAACAAAAACAAAAATTGTCAGCAAAAAACAGAAGAGAGTTAGCTTAATAACAAAATGCATTAAATAAAAAACAAGTGTTTTTTTTTGTTAAACAAAATAATTATAAAAAGAAACAAGTTTTTGTGTTTTGTAAAGTTCAAATTTAAAACAAACAAATAAATACTAAATGAAAATCAATTTTATTAAAGCAAAAATGCAAAAAATGGAAAACATAAGCAAAAACAAAAAACAAAAATAAGAAAAAACAACTTATGAAACTAAACCAGCCAGAAAAACTGGAAAATGTGAATGATCATGTTGTGTTATTAGGTTTTTCTAGTTGTTTGTTGTATTTGTTGTGTTTTCGAGGACAACATCTGCACTATTCATTCATTTAAACATACTTAAATATTACAGACAACATAATAAAACTGAAGACACGTAGGCGCTTATAGTTTTCGCCTGCATATAGGCCTAAATGCATATGAAAGAGATTGGCTGTCTGACTAGGCTGCTTGTGGTTATTTCACTGTTGTTGTTTTTTCTATTGACTTTAAGATAAAAGTGACAAAAAAAATTTGTAGCCAAATTAATGATTTCTCTTTTCACTTAATTTATGACTGTCAAATGGACCAAACAACTAACTAGGCAGGTACTATTTTAGAAACTTGAAGAAAGAGGTTAAAGAAAATTGTGTCTTTATCAAAAAATTATTATTTTATAGTGAAATTAATAAGTAAAATAAGGTCATAAGTATAAGCACGAAAAAAAATACGGATTCATTGGCGAAAATAGTGATTTTCATTAAGAAATTGATAGACTGGCAAAACCATTTTAAGTCCTCAACTGACTAAAAACGTTTGATTCAAGAAAATTTAATCAAATATGAACATTGCAAAATGACAAAATTTGTATTCAAAATATGACACTGTAATCACAATCTAGCGATTGCTCGTTCTACACACTAAGGATTAACATTTCCACTTCACAATTTTATTAAAATTTATTAAAATTCTGGGAAAAAGTAACAACTGTTCAGCTCATTTTACAAAAAAAAAAAACATCAAAGTTTTAGCAACATTATTGCAATTTCTTTAAAATAAACAATTTAAAAGTTCCCTTAACTTAATATTCTTTAGCAGCTAATCAAAACAAATTTACATCTAAAAACTATAACCCACTTACTTGTGTAAACGTTCAATTTGTTCCGATTCGTTGGACAATTCAATTATAGCAAATAGTTCCTCTTCACCCGAACGACCAAAAATACCATTTGGTATTTTGCGTAAGAATTTTTTCAGCACACTAGCAATCGTATATACTGAATAATTGTCCACATTAACCAAACGGCCGGCTTGTAGGAAATGTATTAGCTTCTTCATGGCACCCTGATGGCCGGGTGCTCGAAAGACATCGCGACGATTGGGTGACTCTTTATTCAGCTTAAGTATGAGAACCAGTAAAGGTCCAGGAATGTTGTCATTTTTGCACACCTCCTCTAAAGGTACACCAAATTTAACTTTTTCCAAACGATAGGGATACGTGGGTGCCGATGAACCAGGATGACCACAAGAAGTAACCACATTGCCGAAATCGGCAGCACGTCGATGAACACGTTCGGCCCAGCTAGACATGTTGCGCGTTTTTTTGTTTTTCTTTTTTTTTTTTTTTTGGCGTGTAGGCGTTTGGTTTGTTGTATTCTTGTTGTTTTGATTTTGTTTTTGTTGTTTTTTTCCTTTTACGAAAATCAATCAATTACAAAATGATTTTCGTTTGTAAATTAAATTGATTTATTTAATTTTTCTTAAAAAAAAAGAACACCCATATGATTAAATTTAAGAAATCGTTTCAATTTATTAAAAGTTTTTCTTAAAACATGTTATTCTTGGAATGCTATTTTTTCATTTCTCTTCTCGCTCTCGTTTTTTTTCACTTTTTTTGCTTCGTTTTTTCAACTTTTTTGCTTTACTTTTTCTTGTTGTTGTTATATTTTCCAAATATACACACACATTTAAACAATTTCATTTCATTTTCACACATAATTTTCAATTATTATTGTTGTTGTATTTGTAATTTTTTTCCTTTTTTTAATATTTCTTTTCTGTATGTTATCTTTTTTTATTCTCAATTTATTTTATTTTAATAGAAATCATTGGAATCAATTGGAATATAAACAAAAAAATAAATAAACACAACTTTTTTTTGTTATTTTGTGTTTGTTTTATGTATTTGTTAATTATAAAGAATAAATTTCATTTTTTTGTTGTTATTGTTGATTTGTGTTTCAATGTTGTCTTTACTGTTGGTTTAATAAATATTCTAAACGTTACAATAGCGAAATTAAAGAAATCTTCATACTTTTTACAAAAAAATTTAAAAATTTAAATATAAATTAGCACAGCCTGTGCCTTTTTTATGCAAAATTACTTCTGGTATGAAGAATTATTTGAAAACATTCGCTGCAGCAGCGCGCTACCAACTCCAGGATTGTTTTGTACGCAGCAGAGCAAAGAAATGGTAGAAAAAGCAGAGACTGAAAATTAACACATACAGACTTTTTTGTAACTCAAAAAAAAAATTTTCACTTTTTTCGTTTTTTCACTTTCATTGAGCTATTATACACTTTTTATATTATTTTCAATAATTTGCGGCTTTAACAGATGTTAATTAATCTTATTTCGTTTAAAATTTTATTTAATTGTTTTTTCTTTATTTAATTTAAACTTGTGTATATTTTACACTATTTTTTTCTTGTATGGATTCGTTTTGATTTTTTCTCCGTCACAGACATCTACTCTCTCCGAGTTTCGAACACAAAATAAAATTTTCTGCTCAACTTGTTTAACGACTCTGCTCGCTAGGGTTGCCAGATCAAGAAGAGAACGTTATTATCGACAATTACGTCTTTAAAAATTTGTTATTAATACATTTTCTGTCAAATGCAGGATTTTCGAATAGAGATCTATAAAATTTATTTATTATATTTTTAGAATTATGCTAAAATCATGAATTTTAATTAAAAAAAGTGAAAATATTGTTAATTTAAAAAATAACCAAAACTGTCTAGCTAAATTACAACGTTGCAATTTGTGTAAATTTATTGAACGGTATTACCAAAAAGGCGGGGAACAACAAAAATATGTGACTAATTGCTATTAAATTGAGTTTTAAATGTTTTTTATTAAAAAACGAGAACAATAAACATTAAAAACATTATTAAACACTTTTTCTAAGAATTATTTAAATTCATAAAATTGCAAAAGTCTCTTTTTAACAGCTTACCTCTAAATTTTAAATGCAAACTACAAACAGAAACTTTACAAATATAGTTTCAATATAAATAAAAATCTATTTTTATGAAAATATTTTTAAAAATATAAAAATTGGTTTCTTTTCTTATTTTTCTGACGATCGCTTTGATGGACACTCAAATAAGACTATAAATTATGGATTTATGTATTGAATTTGGTTTCAAGGCCCCTCGGAACCATAAACCCATAAAAAATTAGCTCGTGAGCAGTGAAGAGTTAAAAATTACAGCGCAGAATTGTTTTGCAAAATTTATTAAATAATTTACTCCATTTTTAAGCAACCCTGATATATTTTGACATTTGTCGTGTTTTTTTTTTTTCAAAAAACGTTGCTTTCATGTATTAAATTTAGCAGAAAAGTTTAATTGAATAAAAATAATAATTATTGCAAATAGTAAATAACGCACAAACTGCAAAATACTCTAAAGTGACGAATAAAACAATAACAAAAGCATATGTCCTCTAATAATGCCAATAACATGCCTGCCTCTACAGTGAAACCCACCTCCACGGCAGCTGTCAATGCGGCTGAAACTAATGCAACAACAAAAATTAAACGTGAGTCGTCTTCCACAACACTAATGTCCAATGGAACAGCGAAACTGTCCTCCCTAACACCGGCCCGGGATCTGACATTAGGTGGAAGAGGTGGTGGTGCAGCGGGGGCCAATAAAAAAGTATTTTTACCCAATCTTAATGTAGTGAGAAATAAAAATACGTTAGTAGATGATGAAATTATTAATTTTCAAGTGAAAAAATAAAATTTTTTGTATATCCTCCAACAGTAATGTGAAAACCTCTAAGGACACTACCCTAAGAGGTAGAGGAAGAGGTCGTGGTGCAGAACGTGGAGCTAGGGGTGGTTCGAGAGGTGGTCGCGGTGGCTCCTCCTCTTTAATACAAACGACTGGTGTTTTTTCAGAAGGTGCAGGCGCTGTCAATATACGCCAGGCCTCACGCTCCTCCGGTTATAGCCGGGATGTGGAAGACACCCCCTCGGCCATGAGAAAACCCACTTTATTGAAAAGTGAAAAGAAATTAGATATAAAGGCAGTTTTGGCGAAGGACGTAGATATTTTAAAAGCACTCGATGATGTTGAGGACGATGATGAAATAGAACAAAAGACTGATTTGGATAGAATACCTGTACAATTAAATGAAGGTAAGTTGAAAGTAAAAGATAAACGACAATGAAAGGATAACAAGAATATTAGCTGGGAGATTGGACTCTTCACTGCCGGTTATATTCTAAAAAGTCCCATATTAAGCAACATAGGATATGTTGTACCACAGACGCCTCAAATATTCCATAACAAAGTTAAAACAATAAACTTGATAGGTTTACTAATTTTCCTATAAACTTTAACCCCCTCTAACCCTTAAATCCTTTCCTAAGCTAAATGGAAATATGTTAAATCAGAGGTTAAATTGGAATCAGTGGAGGCACCGGCTTTAACAAATGACTCAAAAGAAGGTAAATTTATTAAAAACATAATTAGCAAACAGTAACAAAAACATAATTATACAAGTGCATGATTATTAATAAATGTTATTCCTCAAACAGATGCTGTAGCCATAGCTTCTCAAATGCAAGCCATGCATGTGGCTCAACACTTAGAACAACAAAATAAACCCCTACCACGTTATCCTCAAACATTAAAGGAACTGCTAGATAACTCGCAATCACAGATATTTTTAATGCAAGTAGGTTGAATTATCCTTAAAAATATGTTTATTGAAATTAGCTAAATTAAGCGCTTTTATTTAGCTGCCGGATACCCTACCCTGTGTAGAGGAAGACTCTGACTCACCGGAAACCACAGAAAAACCCTCCACCTCAGCAGATGCCTCTAAACCGGCAAATCCTAGTGAACGAAAGAAAAAACCAGTCAAAGCTAATGTCTTAAAGAAAATGGAGGAAGGTCAAGTGGGGCGTTTGATACGTTACAAATCGGGCAAAGCTAAATTAGTGCTGGGGGAAACCTATTTCGATTTGGATATGGGCATGGAAACAGGATTTTTACAGGCAAGTTTTTTTTTGTGAATTTTTCTTATAGTTTTCTGATTTTATTACTTTATAGGACTTAATGTCTATAAGCTGTAATCGTGATGAACGCAGCGGTAATATGATTAATTTAGGACCCATACAAGCCAAAATAACCGCCACTCCCGATTGGGAACAACTGCTTAAACAGCCTCTAAGTGGAGATCAACAACTGTAGCATAGATTTGTTTCACATTTAGGATTTTTCTATTTTATTATCATTATTATTTCTTATGTATGTTTGTATATACAGCTTTACAATAATGGACTACTATTGTTCGCTGCACTCCTTTGTTTTACGAAAAGAAAAATAACTTTTTTTTTAATATGCAACAATAAACAATAGTTTGTGGCTTAAAACTAAAACGTTAAGACAGATATTTCTTCTTTAGTTTTGCACTTCTAGACGATCTTCGGCTTCGGAAAGTGTCTGGAGATTTTGTCCACCTCCCGAGGTATTACCGGGTGTATTGGTGCGCCCTTGGTACATATTGCCGTGTAAGTCTATGGAGAAGTTATAGTCAACGGGATTGGCCAAAGCTTGCTCGATGGCTGTCTCAAGATTTTCACGGGTAATAAAGGTTTTGGATAATTCCTGTTCATAAATTAAAAATTTGTTTTTTTTAAAGAAGTTATTAAAGTTTTTTTTTGTTTAATTTTACCTTTTCCTTTTTAACTAAGGCCTCTATTTGTTCCATTCTCTCTTCCTCACGTTCTTTGGCTAAACGCAAACGTTCTTTAATATATTCCGCCTTTTCTTGTTTTTCCTTGGCCAAACGCTGCTCTCTCATTAGGGCAATTTCTTGATTCCATTTTTCATTCTCCTGTAAACAGCGCTGGAATTCAGCTTCTTCTTGTTCGGCTGTTAAAACAAAATGACCGGCTGTTGAAGTCTCATCCAAACGTTGATTTTCTTCTCTTAAATATTGGCGCACCGAGCGCAGTTGTGTTCTGTATTCAAAATAGAAAAGAAGTACATGTAAGACAATTCATTTTAATTCTTGCATGCACCTACTTGTAGTTATTATGCAAACGCAATAATTCGGCTTTTTCCTCAGGAGTTTGTTGTTTTCTTTCAGGCACACGGAACAATTTAGATTTGGCAGTGGGCAACCAACGGGGCTTACGTCTCCATCTAACAAACTCCAAAGCAAAACCAGATTGCCCAGTCTTGCTTTCATTTAAAGCTAAACGCTGTAAAATACCCGCAGGAGCACGCAACATATTGTTTATTTAATATTATACTTAAATTTTAAGTTTAATTAATGATTTTTGGTATTTTTATCGAAAAATTTACACATTCAATGTGTTTCAATTAAAAGCACCAAAAATATGTTACGCGATTTGACAGCTACAAAAAAGCCGAACAGCTGTTTGTGGTGTGAGAGGCGATAGAAAATTTGTTATCATTTCAGGTTGCATGACATTTAAAAAAACATAATCTACATTTAACAAAAGTTGGCAACGCAGCACTAAAATTAAAATTTAAAGAAAATATATGAAAGTTATCAAACAATCTTTGTTAAAATGTGATAAATTAAATAAATAATTAATAAGTTTTAATAACAATTAATAATTTTTTAATATAGTTGTTGCAAATTTGAATTTAAGCCTTGGCGGAAAAAGTTTTCAACAGGAAATGGCTCAAATATAATTTGACATCCACTTTCTGCAATTTCACCACCCTGTCAAAAAAGGAAATGACATTTGGTAAATGCGCCAGAAAAGGAAATGTCATTAGGTAAGTGCGCCAGAAAGGAAAATGTCATTTGGCAAATGCGCCAGAATGGGAAATGTCATTTTATAAGTGCGCCTGTTTTTTAAGCTTTTGTTAGTTTTTTCTTTACAATCGTTGCGAACAGTTTAACATCGGTCAATCGGTAGTGAAAATTTTGTGCAAAATTTATTTAAGCAAAAAAGTAAGTTATAAAATTGATTGACTATAATAAAATTATGAAAATTTATATAAGATGAAATTGTTTAACATGTAGAAAAAGAAAAATCATTAATTTTGTTGGTAATAAAAGAGATTTCTTGATTTTTGTTGTAAAGTGCTGGTTTGCCAAGTGGCTTGCAGTTTTTTTCGTTTTTTAATGATTCTCATTGCAAATAAAACTTATTATAAGCATTGATCGTACATTTATTATAGTTTTGTTGCAATTCCGCAAGTTTTTAATATATTTTTTATCAAAGAGTCAATTAGTTATGTGGTGTTGCAGTTACATACAATACCTGTCTCTGCTATTTGTTTACGGCGGTGCGCCGGAGCGCTTCTGTTTTACTTGCTATTCCTCGTTTTCGTTTTACAATTGTATTATACCACTTTTTTCCATAAACATTAGTAGTTGGCTGGCTTCCTGGCATGTTAAGGTTTGTCCAAAAGACTCTTATAACTTTTCCGTCTACTTTGATTCTCCGGCAACAGCTAAAACTAGGCAGGCTTTTCTATGAAAATACCACCTCTGTCCATAAACATTAGCAGTTGACTGGCTATCTCTCATGTTAAGGGTTGTGCAAAAGACCCTTATCACTTTTCCGTCTAGTCTGCTTGTCCGGCTGTTGTGGTAACAGTTAAAACTAGACAATTTTCCAAGCCGGAGTTTAGGTACACAACTACAAGTTGAAAATTTATACAGGATTGGACTATAAATATATTGGACAAGTTTAAGTAGGGTTGGACAATAGAATTTCTGAAAGTTATTTGGATTTCTTATTAGGTTCTTTATTCTGTTCTGTTTTTTTGTTTTCTTATGTAATCGATGAAAATTAGGCTTTTCTAGAAAATACCACCACTGTCCATAAACATTAGCAGCTAAGGTTTGGCCAAAAGACCCTTATCGCTTGCCTTCTTCTCTGAATGTTCGGCTGTTCTTGTAACAGCTAAAACTAGACAATTCGTCTTTTCTATGGAAATTCTACTTTTCTATGAAAATGCGACTTTTCTATAGAAAATTGAAAATTCTAATCGATTTGGTGAAATTTTTAATTTTAAATAAAAAGTCCGCGATTTAAACTAAAATAACTTTTTATGAAAATCTATTTCTCGAAAATATTTCTTCCAAATATGAGTAAATTACAATTTTAATTTTATAAACCAAAACAAATAACATTTTTAAAAACTTTTCATTCCAAGAATTTATTGATAAATTCATATATTAACACATAAAGATAGAGTGATGTTTTGAGTGTTTATTTTATAGTTTTGTTTATATATTTTTAAACATTAATTATACCATGTACTTAAAGCAAATACACACACACAAGAGAGTACAATGTAAAATAACAATTATTGCAAAAAGTATTTCATAAAAAACACATACATACACATAAAACAATATTATCGATTATATTAAAACTAATAAAAATGTAAGAGAAAATAAGTTTTCTCATATGTCTTTAACGTTGTCCCCGGAAACCTGATCGAAAAACGATGATTCCCTTTTAGCCAAAGGAGTAGTGGGTGCTGATGAGGAGGAAACCGAACAATTGCAACAGGAAGAGGAACTATTCGATGATAGACGTTTACGTTTTTCATTTACATCGGAATTTCTACGTTTGCCCATAGGTCTCATTAGGACATCCACATTGTCTTCTGTATTTTCCACACGCTGCTGTTTGTTATTACTGCAATTTCGAGGTGTTGTGTTAGATGTTGTTAGGAACTCGTTAACTTTGCAATAATAACGATGATTATTTTGTTGTTGATTGAGTAAATTAAGTTTAGTTTGATTTTGATAAGAACGTTTTAATATACAACTGGTCAGTAGAAAGGGAATGGCTAAGATGGCTAATAGACCCAAAATCAAGGTAAACATAACATCGATTAGTATAGAATTCCAGAAATTTAAATGGTGAGAGTGAGGCTTAAGATAATCTAAACCATTTGTAGTCAAAGTCATCTCTATGGCATTAAGAGTTCTTGTTAAGGGACTCATGTGGTCTAGATTTTGCAGTAACTGTTGTTTTAATTCCAAAATAGATGGTTGATATTGGGATTTGTCTTGTAATAGTTGTTGTATGGCATACATTAATTGATCATAGGCCAAATCGTTGTAATTAAGTTTGTAGGCGGCATTTTGTTGAGAAAGTTTTTCTGTTAAGACACATTGTTCCGGAGTAATGGGTATAGCCAGTATATATTTCTCGTAAAACAAGGCTTCGGTAATGCTCATAAAACCACCGGAGGTGATGAAGATTTTAACGTTTTTGTGGGCTAAAGTTGAGTAATGTAAAATGATTATTATGAAAGATTTATATGTGTCTAAACTTACCCAATATTGCCTGTTGGGACCACCAATTGTGTAACATTATTTGTTTGCTAATATTCAATGTTAAAGGCAATGAGTCTTGTTCATCGTATTTGATTATAAAACGCATATCCGGCAGTGTTTCAAAAACATCAAAAAATAGTTGTAGTTTTTCCAAGGGAAAATCATAAATATTGGCACCAAAGCTCAGGTAAATCACTCCCTGATTAGCTCCTTCTATAAATTCCCTAATATGCTAAAAAAAGTTAACTTTATTAGCTAAAAAGATTTAAAGCTCCTTCCCCCAACTTACATTTGGCAATTCTAATTGCTCTTCAGTGGTTTTCAAATGTATACCCGCAATACTCAACATATTGGGTAGAAATGCCCTTGGATATTGCAGTACTGGATGTGTATTTATTAAGGCCAATGATAGATTTTCAGTCAGTTCTTTATGGTGGGGTAGTTCTTTGCACCAGTTGGCAAGTTGACATAGTGGTTCAAAATGTTTCGTATAAACAGCCTGTTGTGAGATCATATGGAAAAAGGAATAGGTTAATTTTTCAAACATGGCCATCATAGTATTGACACAACGCTGCCAAAAGGACATGTGTTTGGCGTAAGGCAAAAAATTACTAGGATCCAAGGCAGCATTTTGAGGATTGCCAAAACGTTGATTTAACCAGGTATTCGAGCCACTGGGACTTAATACCACAGTGGGTATTTGATAGTAGAAAGACAAACTGCAAAAGAAATATATTAGTGAAAGAAATATAAGTTTATTTTTGACTGCAACTTACCCCAATAAGGCATCACTTAAAAATAAGTCTACTATAAGTAAATCAAACTTTTGTGGCGACTGCAGCATTTCCTTTACTTGTGAATTCTGCAATAAATTATCGGTATTACTGGTGGTGGCATACATTAGGCGTGTAAAATGTTCCATAACAGATTTATCATGCATTTCTTGCAAATCAAACGACAAACCCATTTCCAGCCAATTGTTTAGCAAACCCTCTACTTTTATTTCACGAAATTTTTCTTTGGTCATATTACCCCTTGTCAAGTTATCCATTTCATAGGGACTTATTAAGGTCACTGTATGATTATGCTGCTCCACTAATTGCGTTAGTATATAATGACCAAATAGATAATGGGATTTCCAAACACTAGGCATTACAGCCAAGATATGAGCACCCTGACAAAGCCAGGTGGGAGTTGCTAGTATGATATATAAAACCTGTAAACTCCATAATGTAAAAATGTTGGTCATTTTAATGCCTTCTTTTAGTTGTTCTTTTTTTATTTATTGTTTCGGCATTCCTTTGGGTATGACAGAATAATTATGTTGATATGTAGGTGTGCTGCTGCTGCGTTTTTAAGTTGATAGTCTGGTTTTTGCCATCCCCTCCCTAGAAGTTAATCCTGTTTGTTTTTTGCGTTTCAAAGTTTTTAAAAGCTAAATTTTTGGAAAAACTTTTTTTATTACTTGATTTCACACTTGTTTTACATAATGTTGTGCATAAGAAAACTATATTAATTTGTTTAGTTGTTATATATTTTTTTTTTGCAAAATGTAATAATGATTTTTTTCTTAGTTTGTTTGTCGTGAATGTGAATTGCAAAATATGTATGAGAATTATAAACAAAACAAGAAAAATATAGCAACCCCACAATAATCTGTGACAAAAGAAGCAGCAACAATAAAAACAACAACAATAACAATGTAAACAAATGTCAAGCAGACAGCTGTTTCGTGTGCTGCAAAAAGTTACCCAATCAGGTTGTTAAAAGTTTAAGAAAAACAATTTCATATGGCAACTCTCATGTTTCTTAACAGCTGTTTATGTCAAGCATGCGCTATAAACAAACAAATTTACAACAAGCAAAAAAATAATGGAAGAATAGATAAAATAAGAAGAAAAAACAAAAGTTACTGTTTTAACCGGAAAGTCAACAACAAAACGGTAAGTTTTAGCGGAAATTTCTAATTGGAATTTTAAACAATTTTTTAACAAAAATGTAATAATTAAATCGGCAAATATTTAAAACCCACAAATTTAAAATTTATGCTCAAAGAAATAATTGTTATGTTAAAAAAATGGCTAGACTAAAAAAAACAAAAATTGGACAATTGCCAAAGTATTTATATTGAAAACTAAACATTTTTTCTATTTGCTGAAAAAAAAGAAATGAAAAGTGTAAGTTTTTTCTCAACTAGAGAAATAAAGGCTAACTAACTAAATAATTAAAACGTTTCTAACAAAGTGTAAGATTTTCTTTAAATGTTTTTTTTTCTAATCTTTTTTTTCATAGAACTAAAATAAACAAACTATAAATTTTAGTTGATAAACACAAGCAGCTAGTAAGACACAAGACAAGGTCGTGCGTGCAACACAATAATACCCCACCAGTTGGTTTGTGGAAAAGTAAAATTAAAAAATCAAAAACGCATTAAATTACGTAATTATCCAAAACCAGTGGCAAGGAATACATCAAATAAAATAAATTATTCATCTACCTTGTATAATTAATACTTGTTGGGTTTAAAACAAATTGTAATAAAATGCAAAGTAAGTGTACTTGACAATGTTATAGAAAATCGATAATAAATTTCTGTTTATTTACATTTATGTGTGATTTTTGCAGATTTACTTACTCCCCGCATTGATGTTGACAAACCTTTATATGATTTATCTACCTTTGTCGGTCGTTTTAGGCATTTTGCCTGGATGACTGATCCACGCACTGTCATTGTGTCCAGTGACAAATTAATGCAAGCCAAACAGTTTGTTGAAAACTATCGCCAAGGCCAAGAACCTGCAGGCACCACTTCCGAAAAAGTTAAATATGCCATGAAATTGTATAATTCTGCCTTTCATCCCGATACCGGAGAGTTGCAAAACTTTTGCGGACGCATGAGTTTTCAAGTAAGTATTATAAATCAATATGTATGTATGTGTACCTAATATACAAGCACATACACGTATTTACTTAATACTGACAATTATTGCAAACGAGTCTTTTGTTAAGTGATTAAAGCAATTGCTGCCCCTCATCAATTAGTTGTACATTCTGTATATAGAAAGAGTACCAGCAATTGCATACTACTACATACAATAGTTGTCATTTATTTGCCCTACAGAAGGCCATGAAGCGTGAACAAATTTGTGTTGGTTTAAAATGGAAGTACATTTCAGTTGTAGTTCGGTTATAGTCCAATTCTTGTTCAGTTCTAGATCAGTTCTAGATCAGTTCTAGTTCAGTTCTAGTCAGTTCTAGTTCAGTTCTAGTTCAGTTCTAGTTCAGTTCTAGTTCAGTTCTAGTTCAGTTCTAGTTCAGTTCTAGTTCAGTTCTAGTTCAGTTCTAGTTCAGTTCTAGTTCAGTTCTAGTTCAGTTCTAGTTCAGTTCTAGTTCAGTTCTAGTTCAGTTCTAGTTCAGTTCTAGTTCAGTTCTAGTTCAGTTCTAGTTCAGTTCTAGTTCAGTTCTAGTTCAGTTCTAGTTCAGTTCTAGTTCAGTTCTAGTTCAGTTCTAGTTCAGTTCTAGTTCAGTTCTAGTTCAGTTCTAGTTCAGTTCTAGTTCAGTTCTAGTTTAGTTCTAGTTTAGTTCTAGTTCAGTTCTAGTTCAGTTCTAGTTCAGTTCTAGTTCAGTTCTAGTTCAGTTCTAGTTCAGTTCTAGTTCAGTTCTAGTTTAGTTCTAGTTTAGTTCTAGTTTAGTTTTAGCTCAGTTTTAGCTCAGTTCTAGTTCAGTTCTAGTTCAGTTCTACTTCAGTTCTAGTACAGTTCTAGTTCAGTTCGAGTTCAGTTCTAGTTCAGTTCTAGTTCAGTTCTAGTTCAGTTCTAGTTCAGTTCTAGTTCAGTTCTAGTTCAGTTCTAGTTCAGTTCTAGTTCAGTTCTAGTTCAGTTCTAGTTCAGTTCTAGTTCAGTTCTAGTTCAGTTCTAGTTCAGTTCTAGTTCAGTTCTAGTTCAGTTCTAGTTCAGTTCTAGTTCAGTTCTAGTTCAGTTCTAGTTCAGTTCTAGTTCAGTTCTAGTTCAGTTCTAGTTCAGTTCTAGTTCAGTTCTAGTTCAGTTCTAGTTTCAGTTCTAGTTCAGTTCTAGTCAGTTCTAGTTCAGTTCTAGTTCAGTTCTAGTTCAGTTCTAGTTCAGTTCTAGTTCAGTTCTAGTTCAGTTCTAGTTCAGTTCTAGTTCAGTTCTACTTCAGTTCTAGTTCAGTTCTAATTCAGTTCTAGTCAGTTCTAGTTCAGTTCTAGTTCAGTTCTAGTTCAGTTCTAGTTCAGTTCTAGTTCAGTTCTAGTTCAGTTCTAGTTCAGTTCTAGTTCAGTTCTAGTTCAGTTCTAGTTCAGTTCTAGTTCAGTTCTAGTTCAGTTCTAGTTCAGTTCTAGTTCAGTTCTAGTTCAGTTCTAGTTCAGTTCTAGTTCAGTTCTAGTTCAGTTCTAGTTCAGTTCTAGTTCAGTTCTAGTTAGTTCAGTTCTAGTTCAGTTCTAGTTCAGTTCTAGTTCAGTTCTAGTTCAGTTCTAGTTCAGTTCTAGTTCAGTTCTAGTGTCAGTTCTAGTTCAGTGCTAGATTCCAGTTTCTAGTTCAAGTTCTAGTTCAGTTCTAACAGTTCTGTTCTATCTGTTAAAATGCTAGTCTGTTCTATCTTTTAAAATAGCATTATTACAATATTCGAATAAGCTTTTGTAAGTCTATTTTATCAAACTCTTTTTTATCTAAACAAGAAAATAATCTATATGAAAACCTCTATCTAATTTTATCGCATAAAAACCATGAATCAATATGATTTAATTCTAAGCATTTATTATGTTATTTTGGCATCTCTTAACACTAATGAGAAAAGAGGGCACGTTTGAAAAGAAAAAAAAGTCTCGTGATTTCTAATGGCAATGAATATGACGTGACGTATGTAAATGATAGTGATGGCAATTGTTGAAACATTGCCAAATTTGTGCTAGTATGTAGTGTTATTTAGTAGGTTTATTTATAAATAAATGTTTAACACATTAACTATAAATGCTTACACAAATAAATTTAATTGTAATTTACACTAACTGAAATGTTGTTGTTTCTATAGGTACCCGGTGGCATGTTGATTACGGGTGGCATGTTGGCATTTTATCGCACAGTACCAGCTGTTGTTTTATGGCAATTTATCAATCAGTCTTTTAATGCTGTTGTCAATTATACAAATCGTAATGCTAATTCACCAACGTCCGTAACACAGTTGGGAGTGGCCTATGTCTCGGCCACTACCTCGGCTTTAGTAGCAGCCATTGGTTGTAAAAATTATTGGAGTAAGAGAGCTTCGCCTATATTTCAGGTTTGTTTTAAATACATATTGCCTTTTAAATCTATATATATATAAAAAGTCCTTTTTTTCTATAGAGATTTGTGCCTTTTGCTGCAGTGGCTGCTGCTAATTGTGTTAATATTCCTTTAATGCGTCAAAATGAAATTATCAATGGTATAGAGGTTAAAGATGAAAATGGCAATAATGTCGGTAAAAGTCGCGTTGCCGCTGTTAAAGGCATTAGCCAAGTGGTTTTCTCACGTATTGTTATGGCAGCTCCGGGTATGTTAGTTTTACCCTTTATTATGGAACGTGTCGAGAAACTGCCTGTATATAGAAGAGTTAAATGGCTGAATGCACCCTTCCAAACAGCTTTAGTGGGATGTTTGTAAGTACCCAAAGATTTTTATATATTTTCATTATAATTTTTTCGTATATCATTTGCATTTTAAACATTTCGAGCTTCTTAAAGGAGTAACATTTATCAAAATAATTTAACACTTATTAATTTTTTAAATTTAAAAAGAATTTCCCTACAATTTCTAATATGCTTATAAATCTATAAACGATTGTTGTATATGGAAATTTTTTATTGGATTTATGATCTTTATTTTGTGTGCGCTTTAAATTATGTCCAAATTCTAACAATTTGTGTCGCTTTTTTGATTGATTTTGCATGGCTAGAACTGAATTACAATAGAACCTGCACAGAACTAGAACTGAACTAGAACTGAACTAAAACTGAACTAGAACTGAACTAGAACTGAACTAGAACTGAACTAGAACTGAACTAGAACTGAACTAGACTGAACTAGACTGAACTAGAACTGAACTAGAACTGAACTAGAACTGAACTAGACTGAACTAGAACTGAACTAGAACTGAACTAGAACTGAACTAGAACTGAACTAGAAACTGAACTAGAACTGAACTAGAACTGAACTAGAACTGAACTAGAACTGAACTAGAACTGAACTAGAACTGAACTAGAATGAACTAGAACTGAAACTAGAACTGAACTAGAACTGAACTAGAACTGAACTAGAACTGAACTAGAACTGAACTAGAACTGAACTAGAACTGAACTAGAACTGAACTAGAACTGAACTAGAACTGAACTAGAACTGAACTAGAACTGAACTAGAACTGAGAACTGAACTAGAACTGAACTAGAACTGAACTAGAACTGAACTAGAACTGAACTAGAACTGAACTAGAACTGAACTAGAACTGAACTAGAACTGAACTAGAACTGAACTAGAACTGAACTAGAACTGAACTAGAACTGAACTAGAACTGAACTAGAACTGAACTAGAACTGAACTAGAACTGAACTAGAACTGAACTAGAACTGAACTAGAACTGAACTAGAACTGAACTAGAACTGAACTAGAACTGAACTAGAACTGAACTAGAACTGAACTAGAACTGAACTAGAACTGAACTAGAACTGAACTAGAACTGAACTAGAACTGAACTAGAACTGAACTAGAACTGAACTAGAACTGAACTAGAACTGAACTAGAACTGAACTAGAACTGAACTAGAACTGAACTAGAACTGAACTAGAACTGAACTAGAACTGAACTAGAACTGAACTAGAACTGAACTAGAACTGAACTAGAACTGAACTAGAACTGAACTGAACTAGAACTGAACTAGAACTGAACTAGAACTGAACTAGAACTGAACTAGAACTGAACTAGAACTGAACTAGAACTGAACTAGAACTGAAATAGAATTGAACTAAAACTAAGCAAGAGCTGTTCTAGATATTTCTTTTTGCATTTTTTAAACCTAAACTTTCTAGAAAATTTGTCCATCTAACTTTGTTTCACCACCTGCTTGGTTCCAACGAATCCCCTGCTTAATTATCTATTATAATTTAAATTCTTTGTTTAATTAAAAATCATTTTATCTAAAAAGCATTGCTTACTAATCCCACCAGCATTAACAGCTTTAAAACATTTTCATTTGTCATTCCTCATATTTTTTTGTTTCATTTCCAAATGAATTAAAAAACTGAACTTTAAATTAATTTAAAACTTCAATTTTACCAGCTTACTCTTTATGGTGCCAACAGCGTGTGCCTTATTCCCACAAACATGGTAGGTTTTCTATATTTTCTGTTAAAAAAAAAACTTCTGTTTATTCAAACAAAATTTTTCGATTCTTTTCTGTGCAGTTCTTTAAGCACTTCCACCATGCAGCGTTTCGAACCTGAACTCTATGAGGAAATGAAACAGACCACTAATGGTAATATACCCTCCAAAGTATACTTTAACAAGGGTTTGTAAAGTATACCCACGAATCGGCGAATAAAATCCTAGTAACAAAGACAATATTAACTAGTCTAGAAAAAAAGGCTACGAAAACCTATAAAAGGTTTATATAACAGTTAAAAGCATTTACTTTGAAAATGTTCCAAGTTTTTTAAATAGACTTTTAGTTTTATAAAGGCTTACAAATAATTAAAAACTGTGTGTTAATTTTTTGTTTTACAATTTTTTTTTTTTTAAATTGTGTGGTACAGTATTCTATATGTTTTTATCAAAATTTTGTTTAATTTCACAAATTGGCATAGAGTTTTTTTTAAGAATGTGTTATATGCGTATAAAAGTGTTCAATAACTATGTCTTTAAGTTTTGTTTTTTTAAACAATAAAGTTTATTGCTCTGATAATTATAATAAATTATTTGAAATTCCCCTTTCCCTTTGCGTTAAGGTAAGCTGTCATCAATTTTTGTGTTTTTTCTTTAAGAATCTTTATTATTTTTCAAAATATTTTGGTTTTTACAAGTTTTACAAATGTGCAAAAATGTTAAGATTTGTTTGTTTTTTTCTTATAAATTTTTCTTTTGTTTTTTTTTTTTCTAATAATTTGGCCTCGTTTTTAAATAGTGTTTTCATATTTCAGTTTTGTTTTATTTTATAAGGTAAAAAGTTTTTTTAACACCAACTATTATTTATACATATTTTTGTAAAAAAAGGAAAAACAAATTTTTTCAATTTCAAGTTGTTTTTTTTTAATTTCAATTTAGTTGTTTTTTAGTTTAACTAAATACATATGTATGTATGTATTTTATTTAATTTTTTCAAAACAACTACAACCATTTGGAAAAGCTTTTGCTTAGCTTTTCTTAATTAATGTGTTTTTTTTTTTAATATGAAAAAGAAAAAATGTTTTCTTTAATACTTTTTTTTTTAATTTTAGGTGGTTTTTTATATAACTTTCTTTGTTTAGTCCATTATGTTTTTTGTATTTAGTTTTTTATTTAAATTTTTATGCAATGAATAATGTTTCAACTTAAGTGGGTTGCTTTTTTCTCTAATATTTTGTTTACACAGCCTTTTATATTTATAATATATATTTTTCTTTTTAAAACGCCCTGATTTAATAATATAGTTCCTTTGTACAAATTCCAAATAATATGTTATTTCTGGGTTTATTAACTAAAATTTTAAATTCAAAGTTTTAGGAGATTTTTTTAATTTGTAACTTCTTAGGAAGCGCAGAAGTATATGGAAGAAGTAGAAAAATTAAAGTTATTAACTTTGTAATTGCTATAAACTTTGTATTGATTACACAGGTTACACAGGATTGAGTTGCGCTAAATCTGTAGCATTTACCCAATACATCGGTTTTATGAAATTAGGTTAGGTTTCACAGTTTGCATACTACCAAGAGTATAACTATATTTGGATCCTGGAACTTCTTTTTTTCTATTGCCTGTAAGAGAAATAATGGAAAGGAAATTGAAAGAGGGAGAGAGGGAAAAAAACTTAGAATCATTGGGAATTCTAAAACTTTGAAAACACGATGTATTTAACATACGTTTTGTTTTCAAATCGAGTTACGAAGTAATCCCCCAGATAGATCAGCAAAATATGTCGACTCTAAAGTTTGGTAACGAATTGTTTCCGGACAGAAGATGAATGATTGTTTCTTCTTCATTCTCACTTTGAAAACTTCTAGAGAAGTCATTATAAGGAAGACACATGTGCCTGGTATGGTTTCCAAATTTGCAATGACCACTAATAACTGATAAAAGTGTGTTCAAATGTTATACTAGGCGGGATATTTTATGCACTTTCTTATCTCATAATCAAACGCATTTTTCGTCATATTCGAGACGTTATAACAGCGCGAATTCCTGTTTATTAGTACACATTTTTATGCCATCTGGAAGTTCTATGTATTAGTTTCAAAATAAAGCTTTAACCTCTTTTATATCTTGTTTCTTCTTTGAGATAACATTATCCAAAGTTTTGCCCATCAAGCTATATTCGAGACATTATATGAGCGCGAAAACTCACTCCTTTATTTACAAACATTTGTTATGCCGCCTGGAAGTTCTATCTATTGGCTTCAAAAATTTGTTATGTCATCTGGAATTCCTATCTATTGGCTTCAAAATAAAGTTTTAATCCGAGTTATATCTCATTCATCAGTTTTTTAGTTTTGAGGAAATCTCAAATGTCACTGACCAAAGATCTAAAACTAAGTTAAACAATGGTTACAATTTTACAGTCACAGTTTACCTACATTCTCCGACAGCCGATTCTACGTACCGGAATCACCCGATATATTCGCCCAAGGGCTGTCAAACCCAGCAACAACTTTAAATCTACATATGTATATGATTTACCTTCCCGTTTCTGCAATTGTTCTAGTCCTCTCTACACATACATACACAGAATACTTTTCTCTACTGACTGTAGTTTCCTGATCGTGATCAAGATTTTCTAATTCGTGACCACAATCTTTTTCAGATAGAAGTAATTAATCGGCACTAAGTCTGAGAGACTCTGACTGAGAACTCTCTCTTTTTATACTTAAAGTCTCAATATTTGAATGCTTTTGAATATTAGATCCAAAATGTAACAAAATCAGAACTTTAGAGTTTATATTTCGGAAGTTAGAAGAGTCTAAGTATTTTGATTAAAGATCAATAGCTTAATGATGAAATCATTTCTTAAATTCAAAGTTGAAGACAATTATTCTACAAATGCAGTACTTAGTCTTTTTGTTAACGACCATTTATCTTTTCTAGATCATGATCAGGAACATCTTATTCGTGATCACGACCTTTCCAAAATAGATGAGACTCTCTGGTACTATGTCTACATGAAAACTTTTTTACTTTTATACTTTAAAGTCTCAGTATTTGAACGCTGATGAAACTAAGACATGTTCTTTAGTTTAAAGATCATATGGTAGTGATTAGGTGTTCCAATAAGAGATCGCGACCTTTCTAAAATAGAAGTTACTCTCCAGCACTTTTAGAACACAAATTCAAAACAGTTTTCAAATCTTTATTTATATCTCATAGCAAATCTAAAGAGGACTTTCATTACAATCCCTCATTAATCAATAAACGTTTTTAATAATTAAAAAATACTTCTTTATTTAAACGATCACTATTTAAGTTTGCAACCTCTTTATTAAAAAAAACTATTTTTGTAAATTTCTATTCCTAAACAAATTTATATCATAAAAAGTTAGATTTTCTTTATAAAAAAAAAAAACAAAGTTTCCTTAAAAATCTAACTAAAAATCTGTTAATCTTCCTAGTTCAAGAATAGTTCACTTAAAATTTGTTCTTAAAACTTTTGTTCCTGGTTTACTTTTTGGAAGAGGGATAAAAAAATCGTAATTTTTATTTCTTTGAAAATATGTTTTTTGTTTGTTTATTTTTCTTAATAAATTCTTTGTATTTTGTTTTTAGGATTTATTATTATTTTATAAAAAACGTATTCTTTTATAATTCTGTAAGTGGTTTTATAAATATATATTTGTTTTTTTTTTCTTGTATGGACTATTACAATGTTTTGTTGATATTTTTTTTTAAGCATAAATTACTCAATTTTTTTTTTTGTTTAATAATTTTTTTTAATAATATATTCAATTAGTTTTATATAATAATAATAATAAATGACTTAAATAAGGTTTTTGTGTTTTGGTATGTACGTTGTACATACATAAATTAATTAATTAATTAATTAATGGATTTTATATTTCTTACTTTCTTTTACATGTTTTCAAATATTTTATTTTTTTTTTTTTTTAGCAATATTTGTTTGTTTTAATATTTTAAATGTTAGAACTCTGTTTTTTGACTTAAAACTAATTTAATTTTTTTTATAACAATTCAACACACATAAAAATTCTATTTAAGATTTTATCTTAATTGTGTTTGAATAAATGTTGGAACTTAAAAACTAAAATACAATTTGTTTTCAATATTGATTTAGTGTTTTCTAACACCCCTCACCATATATATAAATGTTTAAGGAGAGGGGGGTGAGACACTAAGCAAAGTACAATATACAATTAATTCAAAACAATTTTTTTATTGTTAAAAAAATAGGAGTTTTAGCAGGAAGGAGGGAGACTTAAAATTTGTGCCTTTTCATTTAAAAAAAAAAGGACAAAAATTAGTTGTATTAAAAACAAGATGACAATGATGACAACGACGACGACGACGATGATGATAATAATGATAATGTAACAACAAGTAGGAAAAGGTTTTGTACGTCCATTTATTTAATCGTTTTGTGTTTGTGTTCTAAAGGATATTTAATTCCACCGGATGGCATTACTCTAACATCACTCTTCTTGCAATTTCTTATTGACTTCAACTACTGAAACAGCCTCGACTGTGGTAGTAGTTGAGGTAGACGAAGAGTTTGTTGAGGCAGGCGACATATTGTCGGCATTTAAGGTTTGCGGTGGCTCATTTAAATTCGGTGGCAGTACAAAACTCTTTCCTACAAGTTGATCTCATTTAAGTCCTGTATCCGATGACGGAGTCCATCGATCGAATTCAATACCGGAATCTGGTGAAATACCAGTAGCGGCTTTGGCCAATTGTGCTATATAACCACCGGATTGTATGCATTTACAATCGGTGTTTATGCAATTGCAAGAGAATTTTGATGATGCACAGGGACCCATGGATATATCGGTATTTGTTACAGAGACACCAACAACACCTCCTCCCCCGCCACCGCCACCACTGCCACTTTGATCCATTGCCTCATTGGTATTCAAACGCAATTGGCGTTCGAATGAATGTAATTGTTGCATAAAATGAAAATTGGGCGATACATCCGGTTTGCGATCGCGCACTAGAGTAAATGCATCATTGAGATTTAAAGCTCGGGTATGCATTAAGTAGGCCAACGTCACTGTTACAGAACGAGAGACACCAGCTAGGCAGTGAACCAGCACGGCCGAATTTTTAGAACGAGCTTCCTCTATAACAAAAAAAAAAACATAAATTAATTACATAATCTAAGTGATAAAATGCCAATACTAACCTATAAACTGTATGGCAGCTGGAAAATGCATGGCCAGATCTTGTGAATAATGATCGGTAATGGGTATTTGTAAATATTGTATACCGCCCGAAGCTTCGAAGACATTTGGAAGATCTTTAGTTACATTTAAAACATACTGGAAAAAGAAAAGAAATTTTCAATTTTAATAAATAACTTTTTTTAAGGATTTTAACAGTAACAAAAAACTCACCTTTATATTGTATTTTTGTAATGCCCTTGCATCACAACTGTGCATGGCATTGCCTAAAAATAGGCCAGGTATTATTTCTACGGGGGCCTCATTGCAATTGTGATGTGAAGTACCTTCACAATCTGATGACTCAGCTGAACTGCTGCAAGCTGAATCGGAATGTGGTGTTGAAATCCGCAGAGATCTGTGAGAGAATTGAAAGGCATGTTGATTGAATGGATTTTTTATTAGAATTTGTTTCTATTAAACTCACCTTAAACCCATTAATTGATCTGCCTGTGTACTACGACTAGATTCCATTTCTTTATTTTGTAAACTACCATCTTCACACCATTCGGGAAATGTTTGACGAAAACTGCAGAAACCATCTGAAAATTAAAAGAAAGAAAAGGATATTATTAACTAAAGTTTTTCTATGAATTGAAATCTAAGAGAGGTTATTGACTTCTTCATATACTTTTGGAACAGTCTAAACTAGTAGCAATTAAGGAGTCGAGGAGTTAGTTGAAGTAGGCGAAATATTGCTGAGTTAAATTCCTTGTCAGTACTATAGCCTTTTCTACAAATTGATCCCATTTAAGTCCTGCATCCATGATTAGTGAATTCATCTTGCTTTGACCTGTTATAGAGGCTTTATTTCCTTTATATATGTATATTATAATTGATCTTATGACTAATTTCGTTGTGGACTAAAGATCACTAGGATGATCATAAAGTAAATTAGAATGGATTATTTAGATAACAAGACTAGAAAATTGGGATAATATTCCCTTAAATACAATTTTTCAAAAACTATGATCTGATACTGCATTTATACAGATCGAAATCGGGATCCAGATCTCTTAGATGTTCATCAAAATTTAAACAGAAGTTAATGGAAATAACATGATCGGAATGCAAACAAGTTCCTCAAACATGGATTAAAATTTGCAACATTGATCAGAAATTCTAGCTTTAGTTCTCAAGAGGATTGGAAGTCTAATTAAAGGGAAAACATTGCGGATTAATATTGCCTGGAAAATGTATTAAAATGTCGATGTAATGATAATCAAAATAAACCACCTTTAGCGAATTTCGTGATTGTCCAAATATGCAAAATATCACAATTATATTTCGAAATAACTGTTAACCCTAACCTAATAGAATACTATACATCAGAGCTATTCCCTCTGTGCTATAAATTTCAATTTCTATTCAATTTCTAAAAGGTGACAAAGTCCATATATACAATATACTACTATTTGTAGTTTTTGCTTTTCTATATTTTGTTGTTGTTGTCCAAATTTGTTTACTGTAAAAGTTTCATATTTAGCGGATGTGAATGTTGCTGTTGTTGGTGTGTAGTTGAAGCTATTGTTGTTGGCTTTTCAATTGTAAATCATATGTCATTGTTGTTGGAATTGGTGATGGTGGTGGTGCTACTGTTGCTGACATCATATCATATTCATTCAAATAAATCTAAAACAAAAAAAACCGACCGACCGACAACTGACTACCGCTTTCGTTGCGATTTGTAATAAATTCAAACAACAAACATATTTAGATAATGCATTTTGTTTGTATGTATGTATTACAATGTGAAATATGATGCTGTTGCTGCTGCTGAGGCACTGCACTGTTTAGGTTGAAGATTCCATATTGTATAGTGTAACACATATTTAAACCTCTCTAACAAACATGCAGTCATACAAGTCAGCCAGTCATTCATTAAGTCAGTCACTCAGTCAAGTTACTAAGAAGAGTAATTTTTTTGTTTGTTTATTTTCAAAACAGCTATAAGTATTTTTAAATTCAAATAAATACTGGGTTTTTGTGTTTAACTAACAAAGCGTAGGAATGATATATTTCCTACTCTTACTCTTGTCTTTCCTTTCCTAATTTACTCTAACTGACTACTTCCCGGTGTCGCTCCTGGTATGCTGTTTCTTTTTGATATTGTTGTTATTTTTGTTTATATAACACATTACGTTTTTGTTCACTTTTTTTTTCTTGTTCTTCATTCATTCATGAGCTTTTTTACATGAATGATTTGAATTTTCACGACTGCTGCAGTTAGCAGCAGTACCACTGGCCCCCGGCAGAGCCGCATTTATTTAAAATATTTATAAGATATTATAGAAATTCCAAATGATACTACAAACCAACATTCAGATATACAAAACCAGTTCCACAATGTGATCAGTTTAATGGAGGAGAAAAACAAAAACATGAAAAAAAATCTGAATAAAATAATCATACGACAACGACATTCGATTAAATTATTCATGTTTAAAATACCTACTTGGCGGTATTGGATTGTATTTAGTCAGTCAGTGATTAAATATCAAAAAAAAAAAAAAAAAAATTCATTTAAAAATTGATAGTGTTGTAGTGGTTTTCTCATCAATATGAATTATTATAGATGTTGTAATAAATTAACTAGATTGATTTGTATAATTCGATTATATTTTTATAAACTTGTTGTCCTACGATATTCTTGAATTTTGAATTCTATTATATATTGTATGGATCAAATGAAACTGTAAGGTCGCTTTAAGACGAGAATCTTGGATTTTCATGCCTCTCATATTCTTTAGAACTGAAATAAAACTGAATTAGAACTGAACTAGAACTGAACTAGAACTGAACTAGAACTGAACTAGAACTGAACTAGAACTCAACTAGAACTGAACTAGAACTCAACTAGAACTGAACTAGAACTGAACTAGAACTGAACTAGAACTGAACTAGAACTGAACTAGAACTGAACTAGAACTGAACTAGAACTGAACTAGAACTGAACTAGAACTGAACTAGAACTGAACTAGAACTGAACTAGAACTGAACTAGAACTGAACTAGAACTGAACTAGAACTGAACTAGAACTGAACTAGAACTGAACTAGAACTGAACTAGAACTGAACTAGAACTGAACTAGAACTGAACTAGAACTGAACTAGAACTGAACTAGAACTGAACTAGAACTGAACTAGAACTGAACTAGAACTGAACTAGAACTGAACTAGAACTGAACTAGAACTGAACTAGAACTGAACTAGAACTGAACTAGAACTGAACTAGAACTGAACTAGAACTGAAGTAGAACTGAACTAGAACTGAACTAGAACTGAACTAGAACTGAACTAGAACTGAACCAGAACTGAACTAGAACTGAACTAGAACTGAACTAGAACTAAAGTAGAACTGAACTAGAACTGAACTAGAACCGAACTAGAACTGAACTAGAACTGAACCAGAACTGAACTAGAACTGAACTAGAACTGAACTAGAACTGAACCAGAACTGAACTAGAACTGAACTAGAACTGAACTAGAACTGAACTAGAACTGAACTAGAACTGAACTAGAACTGAACTAGAACTGAACTAGAACTGAACTAGAACTGAACTAGAACTGAACCAGAACTGAACTAGAACTTAACTAGAACTGAACTAGAACTGAACTAGAACTGAACTAGAACTAAAGTAGAACTGAACTAGAACTGAACTAGAACCGAACTAGAACTGAACTATAACTGAACTATAACTGAACCAGAACTGAACTAGAACTGAACTAGAACTGAACTAGAACTGAACTAGAACTGAACTAGAACTGAACTAGAACTGAACTAGAACTGAACTAGAACTGAACTAGAACTGAACTAGAACTGAACTAGAACTGAACTAGAACTGAACTAGAACTGAACTAGAACTGAACTAGAACTGAACTAGAACTGAACTAGAACTGAACTAGAACTGAACGAGAACTAAACTAGAACAGAACTAGAACTGAACTAGAACTGAACTAGAACTGAACTAGAACTGAACTAGAACTGAACTAGAACTGAACTAGAACTGAACTAGAACTGAACTAGAACTGAACTAGAACTGAACTAGAACTGAACTAGAACTGAACTAGAACTGAACTAGAACTGAACTAGAACTGAACTAGAACTGAACTAGAACTGAACTAGAACTGAACTAGAACTGAACTAGAACTGAACTAGAACTGAACTAGAACTGAACTAGAACTGAACTAGAACTGAACTAGAACTGAACTAGAACCGAACCAGAACTGAATCAGAACTGAACTAGAACAGAACTTGAACTGAACTGAACTGAACTAGAACTAAACTATATATAAAAAACTTTTCTCTGTTTATTGCTCTTTGGAACTAGTGTAGTAACTAGTCTAGCAAAACCTTATTATTAAAAATTTAAATTGTTGAAGTTGCCCTATTAGAATTCTCTTCAGTGTAATAATTCTAATTGCAAACATTAGTTTATGAATGAAATTGTTTTTCTAAACACCCGTAAAAGTATTAAAATCATACATAATAATTAGTTAATAACACTTAACAACAAAAACACATATTAATGTACAACGTTTCATAATAAATTAGTTAAATTAATGTGTGTACAACCTAAAAAAGAAGAAGAACAAAACCCATTTTCCATGAATGACTATAACTGCCATAACCATACATTCCCCCTAATCTTTGCAACAATCTCAAACACCAAACTTAAACAACAATAAACTAATAATAATGATATTAATAAAAATATATAAAAAATAAGAAATTGTTGTATAAGTTAATTATTTTAGAAAAATAACAAACGAAGAAGACAAACAAAATTGTTGAATGAAATTTTTCGTTATACTTGAGTTATTTTTCTTGTTTTCATACAAATTTTTCCTTACTACACCACCTCTCATGGTGGTGATGATGGCGGAAAAGGCGGAAATAATGAACTCAGAAAACAGTCAACCAGTAAGAAAACCAAGCCATGAAGAAAAAATACAATGAATATAAAAAAAATATCATAAGAAAAGGAAAAAAATCACGAAATATTATGGAATTGCATGAGTTGCTTTTAACCGCCTTTTTAAAATTCATTCATAAAAATTGGTTTACGTATATGAATAAATTTTTCTGGTCCGTGTTGTTGTTAATAGTAGTTGTATTTTGTTTAAGAAATGGAAAAAAATAATAATTTTATTATTTCACAGTTACTGGGAGAGAGAGGAAAACCAACAAAACTATAATTAGTTTAACTTGTTGAACAATAAAAAATTTATAACATGAGTAGGGGAGTTGTAATTTTATACATATTTTTGGCTTTTGACAGTTCTAGAGCTTGTCACTTGTCATAGTATTAGTTAAATTAGTTTATGAGTATTTAGTTAAACTAGCTTAATTAGTTTTTATTTAACAAAAGTTTAACTCATCTATGTTGCTGGTTGAAATAAAGTTTAAACTAGTAAATTTGTTTAATTGTAAACAGTTAAAAGTTTTAAGTTTAAACTATGTTTAAATTGATAACTCCGTTTAATAAAATTTAGTTTAAACCAGCAAGGGTTTAGACAGTCGATTTAAACAGAATTAAGCT